ACTGGATGGTAACGCTGAAGAGAAAGGGATCGACTTCAGCCCATGAGAAAGGCCAGTCCTGCAAGCCCTGCTGAGCACCTGCCTCCTCCGTGCAGACTGGTGACCGCTCCCGACGCAGTGTGGGTCACCAGCACTGTGGCGCTCTGCTTGGCCACATCTCTTGCTCTCCTTCATCCTTCCTGTGTCGTAGTCCCCTGTTTGCACGTCTTCTCACCCTCCCAGGGGAGCATCTGCAGGGCAGCGGGTGTATCTGCCACTGTCATTGTGGGTGCCCAACACTTACCAGGCACCGGCCTAGGAAGTGGATGCTGGAAGTGAGCCAGGCTGACAAAGTCTCCCCCCACACAGCTTGTCATCCTGGTGTCCCCACGCCCACCATGAGTGTGCTAGTTATCTACTGCCACAGAAGGAGCTTCTCCAAGACCTAGCAACAGAAAGCAAACAGAAATTTATTCTTTACATTGTTTCTAGGAAGTCACAGGTATGCAAGGAAAGCCAAGATTTGGACTTTTTATGGATAAAAATTTTGCTCAAAAATGTTTATATATAAGGTCATGTGGGAGGTGTGGGGAGTGGTTTAGTGGGGTGGTTCTGGCTTGGGGTCTCTGTGAGATTGCGGTCAAGATGTTGGCCCAGCTGCAGGTGTCTGAGGCTGGGGGGGGGCTGCCTCAGGCCCACTCCCCGCTGTTGGCTGGGGGCTCAGCTCCTGCCACTGGGCCTCTCTGTGGGGTGTCCTGACACAGCAGCTGGCTTCCCCCAAACGAATGTTCCAAGAGGGAGAAAGAAAGGGCAAGAAGGAAGCTGCAGCGTTTTTTGTCTCATGTCAGGGGTGACACATCATCTCTTCTGTCACACAAGTGATTCTGGTACAATGTGGAAGTGATGCCACAGGGCGCGGGGTCATGGGTGTCATCTTGAAGGCTGGCTACCCCAGCAGGGCAATTGGTGTGGGTGTTTGGGAAACGTCTGTTAAAGTCTTCACCTCGGCAGTCCTTAAGTCAAAACCTCCACTTTTGTTTTTAATAGACTTTATATCTTTAGAGCACTTTTAGGTTCACAGCAAAATTAAAAGAAAAGTACGAAGAGTTCCCATACACCCCTGGCCCCCTTCCACACAGCCTCCCCCACTATCCACATCCCCCTCCAGAGCGGTGCATTTGGTACAGGGCATGAACCTGCATTGACCCGTCATCACCCACGTCCACGGTTCACGTTAGGGTTCACACTTGGTGTTGGGCTTTCTATGGATTTGGACAGATGTTCGATAACATGTTTTAAAATCATACTCAGGATTTAATCTATAGAGGTATGAGTGGCAAAGAGAGGCCAATGCCATTGAAAGAAGAATTTATTTCTTACATTTTCTGAGACGGGGGACATGCCATGCCACACAGGCCATGGGGCAAGCACCAGGTTTGGTCAGGAGAAGCAGGAGCCAGAGGTTTTCATAGGAAAGGCAAGGCGGGCAGAGTACCCACTGTGGAACTGGCGAGTTTGCGCAATTCTGGTGGACTCTGGGGTGCAGGCACAGTCTCTAGTCGCCTGTACCTGGCCCTGGAGTGCTTTAAGGCAGAGGACATGTTGGCTTGGTGTGTGAGTGAGATCAGGAGGTGGTTGGGGGCAAAGCCTTGGGTCACTCACTCTGCACTTGAAGGTGAGTTCCAGGCAAGCTGGCTTGCAGGAGAGAGGTAAACAAGACATACAGAATCTAAGGAATGTTGACCTAAAAAAGAAACTGAAGCCAAATATGTTAAGTAGAGTTTAACTGGGCATAGAACATTGCAATGGAAGCACGCGTAGTAAACTGTGTGTATTCAGGAAGGTCAAGGAAGACAAAGGGTTTTATTGTTTGGGACTAATTATCCTCTGCTACAAGGGTCAATGACAAGGGTTACACCAGTCCAAGTCTGGACAGAGAGGTACTGGGCAGATGTCCTTGCAGAAGTATTTTTTGTTAGTTTGTGCCAGGTCGTGGCTTTGCAGAGCCCTTCGTGAGAGTTCTTGTTATCAGGCTTTTGTGCGTAAGAACCTCCCTGCACGGCCTTCCCTGACCCTGTTTGGCAGAGTTTTCACACAAGCAACTCCATTTCGATTCTGACATCTCTGACAAAAACTAGCTGGAACACATGAATCCACCATTACAGTGTCACACAGAGTAGTTCACTGCCTTAAACGTCCTCTGCGCTCCACTGTTCATCCCTCCTCCCCCCACCCTCAAGCCCTCGGCGGCCGCTGGTCTTTACACTGTCTCCATAGTTCTGCCTTTTCCAGAATGTTGTTGTTTAGTTGTGATCATAATGCACGTAGCCTTTTCAGATTGGCTTCTTTTACTTAGTAATATGCATTCAAGGGTCCTACGTGTCTTTTCATGCTAATAGCTCATTTATTTTACTTTTTTCTTTTTTGCCCTGGCTTTGCTGATTGTATCATTTTGGAGTGTTTTTAGTCTTCCACTAAGCTTAAATAATTTGAATTTGGTTTACCCAGCCAACATGCTGCAGCCCCTAAAAAAAAAAAAAAAATCCATAAATGTGTTCTGGATAGCTTTAGGAACTTGTCTTTCTCCTAAAATTTCTTGCCCTTGCAGTCATATTCTCTAAGCATCTTGCCAGACCATTCATGTTCTGCTGGTCTAACCATTTGTAGAAAATTTGAAGCCCTTACTCTGTTCTATTTAAAATAGATTTTGTTTCACATGCAAAGTAATCAAATCTGAAAGAACTAAACTCTCTCAGAGGAAGGTCTATGTTCTGTGTGTTGGTTGATGAAGGGATCTGTCATGGTAGGTGCTTGCTATTAAATAGAAGCCTCAGAGAGAGGCAAGGGAACTCTTTTTTCATGGGAAAAAAATAGAGCGGTGCCATTGCAATGTGATCCACTGCTACAGTGAGCTAGTAACACACATGCAACCTGCAAAGATAAGATTCCAGTTAGCAGTACTGATGGCTATGTGGTTTTCCTCCTCCTGTTCTGCATGAGCCTAAGCAGGAGACAGCTTAGAGTAGGACAGCTGGAATCACCAGCATAAGAATGATAACTAATATTTGTATAATATTTTGTAATGCTGTGCACACTGTTCTGACTCTCAAGGGAGACAGACTTTTCTCTGATAAGTGGCAACCAGATAGCTGGTGGCTCTCACCAGGAAAAAAAGCTGAAATGCTGCCAGAAGCCTACCCATTTAGGAGCAGAACTGGTTGTAGATCCTAGTGTGTGGAAAGGGATGGAAAATCCTAGAAAAGAAGATTTAGGGTGAGTTAGAAAGATGTGCTGTGTTCAAGTCTTAGTGAAAAACCAGGCTAGCCCTTCGAAAATTTGCTAATATTTAAGTATTGACGAGAAGTGTCATTGAATTTGTATTTCTCCACGACTCGCTCCACATTGTATCCAGTGTTTTATGGAAAAATTAGGTAATAGTTCTGCTTAGCTGTTCTAACAGCAGTATTTTCCATAAAATGGAGTAAATCAGTGGGAAACAACATGTCTGGGAGCTGGCGCTGTTTGGATCCTGAGCATCAGTGGTCATCACAGTTTCCTTGATGGTAACAAAGTCTCTGAAGGCCAAGGACATAATAAGGACACTGACAGGTAACACGTAGCCTTGACCTTCCTCCTTGCAAACGGACACCTACTGAGCAATTGCAAACATCACATCATCTTTCAAGACATTTTCTTTTTTCTTTTCTTTTTTTTTTGTCCTTTTTTGAGACCGGCCGCACCGTGCTCAGCCAGTGAGCGCCCTGGCCAACCCTATATAGGATCCGAACCTGCGGCGGGAGCGCCGCTGTGCTCCCAGCGCTGCACTCTCCCGAGTGCGCCACAGGCTCAGCCCTTTCAAGACATTTTCTAAATATCGATGATATTTAACTTCTCTTGCCAACCCTTTTCTGGTCCTACACCTTCCTCGCGTGCAACATGCTCCTGTTAGTGACACTCTCACATTGGGGGACAGTCCCTTGGAGGGGGCTTTCACCAGCAAGGGGTGAGGAATAAGCGTTACAGAGGCATACATATTTTGAAAAAATGTCCTCCAGCAATTCTTCTGTGCCCTGCTGGGGTCGGGCAGGAAAGTGTCCTTTCCCTTCCATTCCATTGATGGGGCAGGTGGAGCTTAATAAGTTTAATGGCCTTTGCACAGCCCATCTGAGAAGGCTGCCTCAAAGGACAAGATCACCTGGGTCCTGACACGGTTTGCGACTAACATTTGACATTCTTTATCTGTAAAGTGAAGGGATTGGACTATATGGTTCAGTCTGTAAGGTGTGCTACAGCGATGATACTTTGCAGTTCCATCTTGGGCGGAAGCTGGTGAGTCTCGTGTAGTTTCAGAGGACAAGGTTACCATGTTTTCCAGTAAAGCTAAACCAAGGTTGCAAGCTGGTGGTCAGACCCAGTTTGCAAATGTGTTTCGTGTATATTCCCTGGTGTTTTCTGCTTTTTGAATTAGTTGCTAACACTTACAAGTAGGGGGATGTCTTGAAAATTCCAGATCTGGCAACACCGGCCCTCACTCCTGCAGGGCAACCTCTTCCAGAGGGGCTTGCCCGTGGTCCCACCTGGCCCATTTTGTTTATTCCCATCCCTTCCTGGCCACCATACAAGTGTGAATCTGCAATGCCTGTTTTAAATTCTCTCCACGTTCCCTGGATCACATGGGATGATGATGCTTCCTAAAAGGCACGGATTCAAGCCTATTTCAACATTTTTCTGCTGCTGGAACTGGCTCAAGGAGAGGGGTTTGTATGAGCACGTGGGCTGTGGACTTGCCTGCTGGCTCAGTCATGAGCCCAGAGGGTGAGAGGAGAGCTAGAAGCTCAGTGTCTTGTGACATTCTGGAAAGCTCCCCATCAGGGGGCTGAGTTACAGATGTGCAGAAGGTTTATGGAAGGTTCCGCGTGAACATCTGCATGCATCAGGGAGAGATGAGACCAAAACAGAAAAAAAGCTGATGGGGTTTTCAAGTGTCTTTTTTCCTTTCTCCTCTTACTCTTACTGTCCAGGTCCATGCCACAAGCGGAAGGTGGGCGGCTGCTGTACCCAGCTGGGCTCCCTGTCAGCCCTGAAGCATGCTGTCCTGGGGCTCTACCTGCTGGTCTTTCTGATTCTTGTGGGCATCTTCATCTTAGCAGGTAAGAGAAGCCTTTTCTGTCCTGGCCTTTTGGGATGAGCCTGGAACCTCCACTCTTCATCCCCAGCGTCATGAGCCTGAACACTGCCCTTGTCACCATGGAAACCATGGAGGAAGAAGCTGGCTGGTCTTTCCAACCAGGCCTGGCTCTTCAGCAGCAATGCCTGTTTTGTGTGGGGCAAGCTGACAGAGCCTGTGTGAGCTTGTGGAACCTGTGAGTCCAGCAGTAGAGACCTAGCTGCTCAGAGTGGTTCCTGACCTTTCCTGCACTGTTGTGGAACACTGTGCACTGCACTTAGGCCTCCCTGGACCTCTCGGGTGTGGTTTGCACCGAGCAGGTTTGTTGCTTTGTGTTGCTTCGGCCCCCATGGATTTGTCACCCCACTTTCCCTGGGTGACGGAGACGCAAAGGATTACTCAAAGCCCATCTCTTCTGAGCAGTGAGAAGCCCCGAAGTGGTTAACTTCCCAGACATCCTCCAGTGAGAGGCAGCCCTTCCTCAGGAAATTAACACCGAATTGGGGTTCTCTTCCTGCATTTATTTTCCAGACCAGGAAGTTACAGGAAGAGACATAGGTGGGGTTATAGTTTAACAGTATAGGCTGGTAACTTTCAGTGAAACAAGCCAGATGACATTCCAGTAGACAATTAAGTGGTCCTCTCAACACAGGCTTGATCTTAGCAAACATTCCTTCTTACAGCAATTTCTCAGTATCTTTCCATAACAATCAGTAACTAGTCTATCCTTGCGCCAGCAACCTTGCTGTGCCACAAATCTTTATCTCACACCAGAGACTTATAGCCTGAGGAGAATTTCCTGTCCTTGCAAGGTCAATATTTGAAACTGCAAGGCTTTGGAAAACCAGGCACTCTGAAGTATATATGCTTTTATAGTATATTCCACACAGGTTGAGCATCGTCTTAGCTCCTTGTGCTGGAGTGCCATGAGAGAAGTCACGAGGCATTTTGCTGCTGAGACTAATCAGGGTCATGGTAAACTTGCTGCCCTCTGCAGTCACCGGGAGTGGGATAAGTTGCCCTCCATTCAGCCAAGCTCTCCTCCCCTGTTTCTTTCTGCGAGATGGGCAAGTGGTGGGCTGGGATTTGGAGCACGTTCCCCAGCCAGGGAGAAGCAGAGCTCATGGACTTGGGAAGGGATCAGATGAGGGTCTCTTGACCCCATGCTTTGAGCAGCCTAGTTCACCACCCACAGGCAGTCCAACTATGACAGTGACAGTCCAGCAGTGGCTGGGGTGGTCTCCTCCTGACTCCTGCCAGAGGAAGGGCTGCTCAGTTCCCGCCTTTCTCATTGGAGGTGTGCAGGGCTCTGCACAGTAAGGCCGAGGGATCAGTTTATTTCAATCCAACACACCTCACCCGAGTACCTACCTTGTGCCAGGACCTGTGCTAGGGTTGGAGACACAGTGTGACTGTTGCGTGAGGGGGGTGGGGCTGGTCAGAGCAAGGCTGCTGGCCAGGTGGAGCTGACTTGGAGTGCAGAGGGTGGGGACCTTGAGTTAATGCTCAGGACCTCTGTGGTCTGGATACACTCTCTGTCAAGTGGGACTAGTCCCTTAAGCAGTGTAATGCGGGTTCAATGCTGCCTGTGCCTTCACGTTTCCACACTCAGGGCAAAGGACATGCATCAGGGGTGGGGTCTGTCCCACCAACCAGTGGCCTGGGGGGTGTCCAACAGCAACAGTGAGAGAAACTCATGATTCATTCAGCATCCAAAGGATAGTGTCCAGCAAGGTCCACCGCAAGCCCAGACAGCCAGAGGATAACTTGAGCATGTTCTCGGGCTGCTCAGTGAGAGCTTAGGATCTGGATGTTATGGATTTGGCTGCCAGGACCATGACAAATTTCTGGAATGTTTGGAAAGTGTTTCAGCCCAGCAGGAAAGCTGGGGTATGGTGTTACAACTGCTCTGCAGAATGGGAACTTTCAGGTGACAGAAGGGATGGGGAGGAGAGGGACCAGGCTGGTGGGGGGCCCAGGGCAGGTCCCTGGAGACCTGCAGGGCCCAGAAGGGCATCATTTCCTGGGAAGGAGAGTACCTGCAGCAGAGGGAAAGTCCTCTTATCGTGTCTGAAGGGCTGCCACGTGGGAAAGGGCACACTTGTTCTGTGTGACCCCAGAGGGCAGAGCTGGGACGAATGTTCGGATATTATAAAGAAACAGATTTCCATTCAAAATAGAGGAGCGTTTTCTAGAAAGTAGTGCTGTCCAGTGTGACACAGAAAGGATTTCTCCTGGCTTGGAGAGGGAATGGGATTTGCAATGATGTCCTGGAAACTTCGGAAAGGAGGTTGGGTCATGGCTTTCCAATCTAATAAAAATGTAGGCGTGCTTCCTTAGTTGTTCCAGGTGGAATCCTGGGGAGAATTTTGATCATCGCAATCACTTTTGAACTTGAAGTTTTGGGGTGCCACATTGCCTGTGTGGAATGAACATCTGGGGTGGAGCAGAACTGATCTGACAGAACAGAGCATCATATTTTATCTCTCGGTTCTGATGTGTGGCCACCGTCACCTCCCCAGGTTCTTGTCTGGAAATCGTGTTGGCCTCTGGGAGAGGTTTGGTGAAGGTGGCCAATGGAAGAGTAGAGCTAACATCCTCTGCTCCCACAGGGAGGGGACTTGGGAAGTGGTGGACGAGCCTCTTTAAGGAGGCTGTGCTTGATCCTAGGGAGGAGGTTTCCTTAGATTACCTCACTGAAGGTCCCCAGTGATGCTCCCATTCAGAAAATCGCAAGATGGCAGGAGCTCATGGCTCAGCGTGAAGCTGGGCTCGCCTGGCTGTCTGTCAGGTATCCTGCTGTGGGTGTTTCCCCCTGTTGGATGGAACCCGCTGTGCATGCCCTGGAGAGGTCGCCTTGCACAGAAAGAGATCTGTCTGGACCACACTTAGACTTCAAGACCTTGTCGACACAAATCCCATGACAACCGATGACAACAGACGACAAAATTATCCACGTATCTGAATACCTGACAGGCAATATCTCATGGGAGCACAAATGCTTATTCTTGCTGCTTTCCAATATTACAAAATTATAGTCTTATTACGCCCCAGTGTCACTCTTATAAACCCCGCATGGCACGTCTCTCCATCCGTCCCCCTGCCCAGTATTCAGAGTAAAAGGCAGACGCTGCACCCCGTGTCCCTGTGTTACGCTGCTCCCCCATCAGAGGCTGGCTCAGCTGTCACCCAAACTATTCTCTCAGGTGGACTTTCTGCCACATCTAACTGTCCGTTCCTGACCAGCAGCCTCCGGGGGGTCTCCTCTGATGTCCCAGCTGTCACTGGGTTCTTCTCCCTCACCTCCCACGGAGGCTCAACAATCGATTCCTTCCAACCCCAGATCCTCCAAGCTTTTCTCTCTTCAACACATTTTATTTATTACCTGGGCTGGGAGTTCCCCATTATGTTTTCAGTTCTGTTCCAGATTCATTTTTGGACAGTGTAGACCATCGGGTTTAAGTTCAAAACAAGAGAATGGAGATTGGATGGTCCTGTGGTCAGGAGGTCCTCACGCTAGCACATTAGTGTGTGACAGAGTTAGAAGGGTCCAGTCTTACCCATGACTGCACTGGAATAACTCTGCAGTGACAAAGTGTGGTCATCAGGAACCACGTCTTCCTCCCCTTTCTTACAATGACACTCATTGGCAAATTTGAATTCCCATTCTGAAAATGAAGCAGCAGAAAGAGGAAGTGCAGACAACTCGGGGGTCTCACCTGGGAGCTGTAGCATCAGCACTGCAGCCTACAGCCACTGGACCAGGGGCTCTTCCCTCACAGCGGCCACCGGTCATGGTCATCCTCCTCCTAACAAGTGCTTAACTTGCAGGGCAACTCGGCAGGTGCAGGGCAGAGGGACAAGCCCTGAGAATAAGAAGCCATGAGATGTGGTCATTGCACTGTAGGGCTGCAAATCATAAACACACATGCATGCTTTAGGGCAATATGCTGTAGCTCATGCTACTGCCAAATTATGCATAGGAGATCCCGATTCCTGAGGGCTGGAGTGGCTGGGGAGGGCCTCAGCCTGGGGGAGAATTGTCCAAATGTCATTTGAACTGAGTACCTCTTTTTTCATCACCTTGTTTCAAGCAGGTCTGTCCCTGGACTCTACAGTCAGGGAACAGTTTGCTCAGAGCCAATCCATTTATACCGTAGATGACTGATTCCATTATGCATCTTGGAAATAGGACCGTGATGCTTCGGTCTTTACAGGGACACTGTCAGAAATAGCCCCACGAAACTCCATCCTCATGCTCATTGCAAAGACGCTGTGAAGGACGTTTTTGATTCCGTTACACAATGTTGACTTCAGGGGACCCGTGGAGAGATTGGTTTCCATCTCAGTTGCAGAAGGACGTATGCTTTCCTTGGGAAATTGGTTTGCTTTCACCCTATGGAGATGGCAAATCTGAAAGTCATTAAAATCACTTCTGAAGAGGTAATTAACACAAACTGAGAGTCAGCTGTCATCCCGTTGTATGATGTGTGAACTTGAAGGTAATTGAAAAGAAAACCAGGACAGATTTGTGGTCCACCCACAGTCTTTGAAGTGCGTAGACTTTATGGGAAGCATTTTTTGTGTTAGTCACATTCCTGGCTCTCCTTGGTGTCTCTAAGTATACGGGGGCACTTCAAAAAGTTCGTGGAAAGATAGAACTGAAAGATAACCCTTAGTCGTTCTTCCTTTTCCTTGTTCTCTTCTGCTTTTACCTTAAGGTGTTTTATGTGTCCTCATAAACTGCCTTAATCCTTTTTGGAACCAGGAAGGGTGTTGCAGATGGTTCTGTCTTTTAAAAAAAATTCTGCCTGTCTTATTTGATTCTTAAAGTGCATGATGTTTTCTACTATGTGAATGGATGGATGGATGGATGGACGGATGGATGGATGGATGTCAGAGACAAGGAAGCCTGGAGGGAATCTTATTTGTGGAAAAAAATAAGATTATTTCAGTTTTAACCAAATATCTAAATGACATGGT